AGTGATGTTCTCTCATTTGTAGGTTGAAAAAAAAACAGAGAAAAAGGGGCAGTTGGGAGATAAAAGTAGACTAATTACTGTCCTCCCATTGATAGCTGCATGGTAGTCCCATTTCTCCACCTCTTTAGCAATCTCAGGAGTTATTAGACTTTTTTTTTTTTAAATAGCCTTCTTTTGTATCATGCCAAATGTGTGTCCACCAGAATTCATATCTCAGGCAAAGCCATTCCTCAGAAAGCTCACACAGAGAGGCTGAGTTGGAGTCCTGGCTAGTATAGCCTTTGTTCTAGAAACCCTTGTTTTGTTGGCGGGGACCGTCTGGCCAAGCTCCTTTGCCACAATGGGCACAGCTGTTGACATCATTGGTGATGACCTCAGCCAGTTTGTATTTTAGGAACCAAAACCCTAATGATGGACTAAGACCGCCTTAGAAGAGGCCCTAAAAAGTCAGCTATGGCTCTACATTGGGAGTAAAAGAAGGATGGGGGAAAATGTGAAGAATTATTTAGACAAAAAAGTAAAGTAAGCTTTCATTTGATGACTCGTCAGAGTAAATTTAAAGGTAATGATATTTTCAGAGTTAATAGCGGTTTGAGGGATGAAGTTAGGAACCAGAGAAGAAAAGACTGGAGTAAGTATTATGCAGAGTATGATACAATGTTAAAAATAAGTAAACATTTCAGGTAGTGTGAAAGAACAGGTCAGAGTAGGTTCTGTGAATTGATAATGGCACTAATTAGTTTTATTATTTTCTCCAGCAGTGTCTGGTAATCTGAAGGAAAAAATGGAATGATTGAATGGCAGCATATACCCAATATTGGTATTTGGCAAGCAAGTTGATAAAATAACAGGAATTAGCCAGGGAATCTAATATGTCACCAATTACATTGTTAAAATGATGAGCCACAAAGTATGTGAAAGAAGCCAGAAGTGGCCCACATCTTAGAAACTGTTTGAGGGATTAATGTTGACCTTGAACCGAGTAATGTGATAGTGAGATGAAAATTTAAGGTGAGGTAAGTGTGCATACAGGGGTGTGGGAGGTTCCAAATTAAGATCTTGTCATTTGAATTTCTTTATGAAGACTGTGATATGAGTTTCTTTGCATTTTGAAGATTGAATAGAAAAAATGCTTTTAGGAATGAAAGGTTTTTAGAGAAGTCTGTGTCAGGAGTGTTGAAAGAGTAATGGAAGTTCATTCGTACTGACTGCCGCAAGGGTAATGGGGAGAAATGAGCCAAGTGCCTTGGTAGATTACAGCTGTGCAGATGGAGAGAGGGTAGAGTAAGTGAATGTTTTGTACTTCACAAAAGGAAGACTTTTTGATAAATTTGGTAAAATGATAGTTTATAATCCATAATGGGGGGTATCAGTATATTTTCAGAAATGAAGTCTAACATTTTTTGATAAGGAAATAACATAACATCACTTTCCCTGAGGCTAGTTTTGTATAGTTAATGTGCTTGCTCAAATGATGGTAAATAAGAATGTTTGATCTGGAAACTTTATATCCCAGACTGCATGTATATAATCTTGAAAGGGAAAGAATTGTGTTAGATTATATTTGTAGTCTTATCCCTGAATATTGCCAGGTACTGTGTGTTCAATGTATAGTATTTATTGAATGGTTGAGGGCATAGTAAGTGGATCATATTAAGAGAAGTCCCCTTAAGTAGGTGGGCCTTGGTACCAAATGCTAAACAGAATTACAGCTCAGAAAAATTTGTATCTATTTGTTTATAATGCCTTCATCTACTGTGAAACAGTTTAGGGTCAGGGTAGGGCAACTAGCAGGTTGTAAAGAAAACAGATGGGATTTTGATGTAGTTTAGTCTTCTTACCTCAGTAGTTCATTTTACTACCACCCCCCTTTGTTTTCCCTTCAAAGTTATGTGGTAAGATTTTGCATACCAGGGTGTCATGGCTTTCATTGAAATGAAATTTCTTTCATTCTCCTCTGCCTTTGGCAATTCACCCTTGCTTACAGAATAAACTCAGACTTCATAGCGTGCAAGGTAGATGTATGTTTTCTACAATCTGGTTCCTTTCCTTTTCAAAAGTCTTATTTTTTCCCTGTGTACCTATTCTTCATTTAGATTTCACAAGCATATCTTGATCTTTTGCTATGTCCGAAGTATTTTATGATATTCAGCTATACTAGTCTCTGGTTTTTGTTCTCTGTCTTAAACTTTCCCACTTTCTCCATCCATCTAAGTCCCAACCTTTTGAAGCCCCCCTCCTTCCTCATTCTTACCTGGTATCACAAATATTTATTTATTTTTCTTGTGTAGCATTTACACAAATGAAAATATATCTATTTGCTTCTTGAAAGCCTAATAATAAAATCCTGGAAGTATAAGAAATGCCATTTTTAAATATTTTATTCTCCTTAGTAGCCTTTTATAAATGCTTATGTATTACATATATTTGGGATGATAAGGAGAATGTTGTGAGTGAGGGGATTAGCTATCCCTAAAAGAACTATGGGCGTGTATTCTTAATTCATTCCATCTCTTTACATTCTGTTTTAGAATTTGATATCTTATGTTCATCATCCCTAATTATCAGAGAAATGCAAATCAAAACCACTTTGAAATATCATGTAAGCCTAGTGAGAATAGCCCATATCATAAGGTCCCAAAGCTGCAGATGCTAGAAGGGGTGCCAACAGAGGGAAACACTTAGCACTCTTAGTGGGATTACAAACTAATATAGCCCTTTGGGGGAGACGTATGGAGAATCCTCAAAGAGTTAAACATAGACCTTCCACTTGATCCCATAATCCCATTACTTCATACTCCCGTTATGGATCTTCATTATCCATAAAGAAAAAAGTCATTTTATCATAAGTACATTTGCACTTAAATGTTTATAGTAGCCCAGTCCACAGTCACAAAGATGTAGAAACAACCCAAGTGTCCATCAACTCATGAATGGATTAATAAATTATGGTATGTGTATACCATGAAATACTATTCAGCCGTTGGCTCGGTGCCTGCCGCTCAAGTAGTTAGAGCACCAGCCACATACGCCGGAGCTGGCGGGTTCGAATCTAGCCCAGGCCTGGCAGACAACAATCATAACTACAACCAAAAAATAGCCGGGCATTCTGGCAGGCCCCTGTAGTCCCACCTACTTAGGAGGCTAAAGCAAGAGAATCACTTAAACCCAGGAGTTGGAGGTTGCTGTGAGCTGTGATGCCATGGCACTCTACTCAGGGTGACAGCTTGAGGCTCTGTCTCAAAAAAAAAAAAAAAAGAAAAAGAAAGAAAGAAATACTGTTCAGCCATAAAAAAGATGGAGACTTTGCATCTTTTGTATTTACCTGTATGGATTTAGAGAACATTTTCCTATATAAAGTATCTCCAAAATGGAACAGCAAGCATCTTGTGTACTCAGTACTATTATAAAACTAGTAAATCAACAACTATAGGCCAACATGAGAGAAAAACACAGTTAAATTCAAGAAAAAGAGAGAGGTTGGCGGCACCCATAGCCACATACACTGGGTATGGTGCTGGCCACATACACTGAGGCTGGCGGGTTTAAACCCAGCCTGGGCCAGCTAAACAACAATGACAACTGCAACAACAACAACAAAATAGCCAGACGTTGTGGTGGGTGCTTATAGTCCCAGCTACTTGGGAGGCTAGGACAACAGAATCTTAAGCCCAAGAGTTTGAGGTTGCTGTAAGCTGTGACATCACAGCACTTTACCAAGAGCAATATACTGAGACTCTGTCTCCAAAAAAAAGGGGTGGGGGGAGGATTTGGGTAGGGTGCTGGCCACATACACTGAGGCTGGCGGGTTCAAACCCAGCCTGGGCCAGCTAAACAACAATGACAACTGCAACAACAACAACAAAATTGCCAGACGTTGTGGCGGGTGCCTATAGTCCCAGCTACTCGGAAGGCTAGGACAACAGAATCTTAAGCCCAAGAGTTTGAGGTTGCTGTAAGCTGTGACATCACAGCACTTTACCAAGAGCAACATAGTGAGACTCTGTCTCCAAAAAAAAAGGGGGGTGGGGAAGACTTGGTAAGTTCCTGCCTAACAGACACAGGTAGGGGTATATGGCACTCTTCCAAGTCTGCAAATTGGGTGTTAACCTTAAAAACACAAACAGTGTAACCTAATCTCATGTACCCCAGTATTAATCTGAAATTTTATTTTATTTTATTAATCTGAAATTTTAAAAAAAGAATTTGATTTTATATGGTCATTTGATCATATAGCCTTAGTCAAATGAAACTTCTAGGAAGATACCCTTCTAGGAATTAGCCCCAGAATTTCTTGACTGCAGGGTATAAGCTACATTTCCAAATATAAGTTTATTCTCTATGTAGTATTTGATAGAGAAAGAAGTCATCAGAGATCCATAGTAAAAAGAATAAAGTATTTTACTGATAGCTATTTCTGGAAGAAGGGAGTAATTGCACATCCTCTGAGCCTTGTTGAGTTTTTGGTGCTAATAGTGAAATCTGGTGGTGTGTTCTAAGTCTTGTTTTTTGATAAATCTTCCTTAACCTCTCATCTCCTTTTCAGCTTCTTTTTTCTATTAAGAATATGTGTGTATGTGTGTGTCTGGTATAAAACTATATGCTTACAACTCTACTGGGAAAACATTTTTTTAGTGGGGTTACACCTGTTCTTAATGTAGTATTTTATCTACGTTTAGATGTGTGATTTGGGAGGTAAATTATAATTGACGAGAAAACTAAAAAAAAATATGCTTCTTTATTATTCATGGACCATCTAGATATCACATACAAATAGGTCAGGTTTCTCAGTGTAATGTAGTGAAGTGCCTTATAACAAATGACTTATCCATTTGATGGTGAAAGTATTAATTTATTCTAGCACTTATTTTTAACTTGTAACTTAAAACTCTGTTAGCTATATCACAAAGAGATGAAAATTAAAGATTGAAATTTCATATTTCCTTTTGATAATGTCAAGATAAAGTCCAGATTCAATATAAGTCTACTTTATTTTATAGGCCTATGAAGAATACACCAGCAAGCTAGATGCCCTACAACAAAGAGAACAACAATTATTGGAATCCCTGGGGAATGGAACTGATTTTTCTGTTTCTAGCTCTGCATCAATGGACACCGTTACATCTTCTTCCTCTTCTAGCCTTTCAGTGCTACCTTCATCTCTTTCAGTTTTTCAAAATCCCACAGATGTGTCACGGAGCAACCCCAAGTCACCACAAAAACCTATTGTTAGAGTCTTCCTGCCCAACAAACAGAGGACAGTGGTGAGTCAGTTTTTGATATCATTTTGCTGTGTCTTTTTATTTTTTCAGAAAAATCAGTTGTTAAAAATGAATATATTATTACTTCATACTCAGAGGTCATGCAAATAGAAAGGATCCATCCCAAACAAGAATGGAAAAGATAATTATTTGTTGCTAAAGTATGTGTTCCTTTACTGAAACAAATTATTGCTAGTGTCAGAGACATTCTAACCTATACTAAACTTGCACCACACTGAAGTCTGAGTATTAATTTAAATTCAGTCAGAATTTCAGGCTTGAGCTTGTTTGTTGTCTAATATATGCCAGATAAGCTTCATTTCTTCACCTTTAATAAATTCTCATTCTGAGTTATTATCAAATATTGAATTTTCAGTGTGCTTGTTATTTTTGTCTTGTCCATAGTGTACCCTGTAAGTAACATTTAAAGCAGAGAAATATGCGAAATTATTGTGGATGGTCTATACTTCTGAAGTGCAATACATACTGCCAGTAGACTTAAAAAATAGTATGTCTATATACATCACTACCTTTTTAATGTATTATATATATATGGTTGCTTTTTATATTAATAAAAATGTATCATTTCTGAATACAAATGAAGTCAAAGTTTTTCATTTTTTTCTTAGACAACAGATATGAGAAGCCTGAATGCTTTTGTTCAGTATTTCAGAATTTTTTGACTTGAAACTATTATAAAGGTATTATACTTCCAAGAGTGAAGAATTCCTGCAGTAGGGGTTAAACTACCAGCCTGTAGGTTTTGATCTTGCTTGGAAGATACGATTTTCTAAGGAGTCATTTATTGTAGGGAATATATCCATTCATATTTTTTCCTGCCCTTCTTTCTATGAATAGACAAAAGTTGGTTGCAATAAAATGGACTCTGATTATTCTTTGTGTAGAATTACTAATCAGTCTATAAAACAAATTTAGTTCTCTAACCCTACCTTTTTCTTCTTTTGGGTTGAATAAAATTAAAACTATTTTCCCACATTAAGATGGGAAATTACTGAGCAATATCTTTCCAGTTGCCCCTTTAAAAGGGGATATATGGTGAAATTATATATGAACTATCTGTGAATTCTATCTTTGAAGCAGCCTATGTTATAAAACATCTGTCCTCAGTAGATCATAAATTAATTCTCTGTTGCCTTTGCCCATATTTATGAGCAGAAACTAGAAAAGTTTTTGTTTGTTTTTGAAATAGATTGAGACTCTTGTCACCCTGGCTAAAGTGCAGTGGTGTTATCACAGCTCACTGCAAGCTCAAACTCCTGAGCACAGGTAATCTTCATGCTTTGGCCTCCCAGAGTGCTAGGATTATAGGTATGAGCCAGGCCAGGAAAGGTGTTAAGTCCCAGCTTTTGCCTTTTTTTATCACAGTATTCTTCCTCCTTTCATTTCCTACTAAACTTAGTAATTGTGTGAGTTTCAGCATATAAACTAAATTGAGCCTATTGAAGATAGCCTTTTGAATATTCTTAGCCTAATCTATAGGATTAGGGTTAACTGCCTTCTTTGTATTTAAGGGGGGGTGGGGGGCAGAGAAATTTACAGTTACCACTAAAGCTTATAATTCCCTCTTTAAAAAGCAATAGAGATAATTGAGACTCTTCAAAGATACAAAATGATCATAAGTGAGCTAATAGGCAGTTGACTAGGGTTACCTTAATTATTATGGCTAGGCTTAGATTAAATTAATGACTTGTTCTTGTCTGTTGTACTCTCACACTCTTTCATCTTCTATACTCAGAATAACTCTGTATCATGAATTTAGGAGGTCTTTTGAATTGTCAATAAATGAGTCTACAGATTTAAACTCTTTCAATGATACTGTTTTGCCATTCTCCCTTTATCTGAATCTCTTCGTTCTTTATTCCTCTTTTCATCCCTCAGTTCTTATTAATATTGACAGTGACTGACCATTGATCATGCGGTGTTCCAAATCCTGAGGTGAGGTCTTTACGTGTATGCAGGTATTCTCTCACCCAGGATAATTCACATCCTAAATAAAACTGTGGTAGTGCAAGCAGCTCCTCTGTCAGCATCTCTCTGGATCTGTTTGTCCTCAACACTCAGGAACACAGGGCAGTAGAACCTACTAGCAGTAAATGAAATCAAGTACCAAAAATGAGATTTTTTAAAAGAGGATTTAGATTTATGATCCAAGATAGCAGACTAAAAACTTTCGTTTATGTACAAATGTAGTTTTTCTTAAAAATTCTTTTGATATGACAGTAAAGAGATATGAGAAGAATAAGTTAATAAAATAAGATAGGATACTGTCAGAGAAATGGAAATTTTTAGGAATTCCTGGAAAATGAATAACTTGGATAAATAGATAAGCCAAAACAGAAAACCATATAAAATTCTAGGGGCTAGATTTTTACATGAAGGGAACAAATCTCAGTAAAATCCTGATGAAGCATAAAACCTGTCAGTAGTTACAGAGAAGTGGATTTGCCTCTTGAGCAGTTATCAGAGAATTAATTGAAGATCTTGCTCTGGCATCAAGACAAAGTTTTATCAGGAATCAGACAGGTAGTTTAAATATGAATATTTCAAAGGTATGGGTTAGTTGCGAGTCCTGTAAAGAAACAAAGTGAACCAGACCCTGCTAAAATCATTAAAATTCTGAATTTAAAATTAAAAAAAAGAAAAGGTGCTGGCTAGATTTTTGAAACATCTGATAATGGGCTGCTGATCCCTAGTACAGCCCTACATTGCACATCTCCATAGAGAGGTGAACGTTGCCTCCTGGAATTGTATAAGGGGATTCTGTCAGTTCCTCTTCTGAATATATAGAACCAAATGGTTTATAGTGAGTATTCTGTGAAAAAGCTCTGAAAATTGTTTTCTAAACAAAATGAAATTTCTGTTTGGAGAATTTCTGCACCAGTACTCGAATGAGAAAGATGAATAAAGCTGAACATTGTATATCATTGAACCTCAGAGAAATCCATTGGGGAGGAAAAAGGAAAAACCAGTTCATTCAAGAATAAAAGAATATTCTACCTCTCCAAAGAAGCATGTACCCTTTAGTAATGTCAGTGGTATAGCATGGAAAAACACACTGATTTCTCTTACTAAATTGTCAACATGACACACTTCTGTGACCAGATGTGTAGAACCTGGTGCCCCACCAAGCAATTCTGCAGTACATAAACTGGGTGTCCCATAACTTAACTCAATTTTGACACTATCTACCTAGAAATAGTGTAGACCAGTGGTTCTCAACCTTCCTAATGCCGCAATGTATTTTCATTGTTAAAAAGGGGTTGCGACCCACATGTTTAGAACTGCTGGTGTAGTCCCTAAAGCTTAAGGGCTCAGTCCCACAAGGCTGCCCCCCTTTTTATTTATTTTTTTTATTATTTTTTTTTCTTTTTGAGACAGAGTCTCACTATGTTGCCCTTGGTAGAGTGCTGTGTTGTCATAGCTCACAGCAAGCTCAAACTCTTGGGCTCAAGCGATTCTTTTGCCTTAGCCTCCCAAGTAGCTGGGAATACAGGCACCCACTACAACACCCGGCCATTTTTTGGTTGCAGTTGTCATTATTGTTTAGCAGGCCCAAGTCAGGCTTGAACCTGTCACCTTAGGTGTATGTGGCTGGCGCCCTACTCACTAAGCTATGGGCACTGAGCGCTACTTTTTTATTTTTTATTTTTTGAGACAGAGTCTCACTTTGTTCCCCTGGGTAGAATGCCATGGCGTCACAGCTCACAGCAACCTCAAACTCTCTTGGGCTTAAGCAGTTCTCTTGCCTCAGCCTCTGAAGTAGCTGGGACTGCCCACCACAATGCCTGGCTATTTTGTTGTTGTTGTTGCAGTTGACATTGTTGTTTTAGCTGGCCTAGGCCGAGTTCAAACCTCCAGCCTCAGTGTATGTGATTGGCGCCCTACCCACTGAGCTACGGGTGCCACCCTGCCCCCTTTTTTAGATGCCAGCCTCAAGTTCTACTTTGTAACCTATACTTCTGACCAACTGCTTATAAATTAGGGATTCCCACAGTCCCCTTCTCATCTTCAATCATTTACTAGAATAGCTCACAATTTCAGGGACATTTACTTAGAGATTTACTTGTTTACCCTAAAGGAGTAATCCCTAACCTTGTGGCACCAGGTTCATAGAAGACTGGTTTCATGGAATACAGTTTTTCCATGGACCGAGGTTTGCAGGGGATGGTTTCAGGATGATTCAAGCATATTACATCTCTATCTCAGATCATCAGGCATTAGATTCTCATAAGGAGCAGGCAAGCTATCCCTTGCATGGGCAATTTACAGTAGGGTTTGCACTCTTGTGAGAGTCTAATGCCACAGCTTATCTGACAGGAGGCGGAGCTTAGGCAGTGATGTGAGGGATGGGGAGCAGCTGTAAATACAGATGGAGCTTCACTTGTTCTGCTTGCCCACTTGCTGCTCACCTTCTGTGCAGACAGGTTCCTAAGGGAATACCAGTCTGTGGCCTAGGGGTTAGGGACTGCAACTTTAAAGGATCTTAATAAGGGTTAAAAAATGTTACAAAAAAGCATGGCACCTGTAGCTCAAGCAGCTAGGGCGCCAGCCACATACATGGGAACTGGCGAGTTCAAATCCAGCCCAGGCCTGCCAAACAACAAAAACAACTACAACCAAAAAAAAAAGCCAGGCGTTGTGGTGGGCGCCTTGTAGTCCTGGCTACTTGGGAGGCTGAGGGAAGAGAATCACTTAAGCCCAAGAGTTGGAGGTTGCTGTGAGCTGTGACACCACAGCACTCCACCCTGTGTAATAGCTTGAGACTCTGTCTCAAAAAAAAAAAAAAAATTACAAAAATAAACAGAGAAATAGAAGACAGAAAAAATGCTTAGGCCAAGGTATGTGGGAAGGGGGTGCAGAGTTTCCATGCATTCTGTAGGAATGCCACCTTCCAGCAGTTATAAGTTTTCAGCAGTCTGGAAGCTCTCTGAACTTTTTGTATTTCAGGGATTTTTATGGAGCCTTTGTCACTTACCTCTTCT